GAGGTGGACAGTGGACTTGGAATTCATTCCACCAGGTCAGACTGTTAACCAAACCCTCTATTTAGAGGTTCTGAAAAGATTTCCTAACAGTGTGTGACATAAAAAGCCTGATGATTCATGGCAGATGGGGACTGGTTTTGCCACCATGACAATGCACCTGCTCATGCAGCCATCTTAATGAGCCAGTTTTTGGCAAAAAACAGCATGCCTCTCTTGCCCCACGCACATTACTCACCTGACCTCATTTTGTGTGACATCTTTTTGTTTCCAAGGCACATGAAAGGATAACAATTTGGTGACGTAGAAGAGTGAAGAAAATGAGGGAGGTGCTGCCAGTTATCCAAACAGATGAGTTTGAAAAATGTTTCCAAGAATTGAATCACAGATTTGACAAGTGTAGTGAGAGTACGTTAAAGGTGGTAAGGTTGTTTTGTAAAAAATTTAAATGCATAGCTTTGAAAAAAATCCATTTTTTTGGTACCCCCTCTATATCAGACTGTTGGCCATTTTATGAGGCGTTCTCTAACTTTTGGAATCTATGCCGTTCCTTATGCCGTTCCTTCCATCAGAGATGCCCTTTCTTCATTCTTATATCCTTATCACTAATCTGTATGGCATTCTTGGGAGGAGGTGCTATCAGTACTGTTTTGCAGATGGTTGCAAAACATTAGCAACTTATTCAGGGTGGCGCAGCTAGTAAGTGACAGAGCTGAGCTACTAATTTGGCCTCTCAGACTCTTTCACACCTCCGTCAGGCATTCCTGGGGTGATAAAGTCTAATCCTGGCGGTGTAGCAGGCTATGCACTGAACTGCTAACCACAAAGTCACCCACGAGTTGCCCCGTGGGAGAAAGAAGAAGTTGTGTGCTCTTGTAAAGATGGAAAGTTTACTCCTCTCCTCCGTCCACCTTCTCTGCCCCTCTCTCCCCGCCCCCCAGCCCCGAACCTAGAGCACCCCTTCAGGGGACGCGGGGGGCGGGAGGCAGGGTTAAAAAAAAAAAAAGATGTAAAGTTTAGTCTCAAAAAACCCAAAGGGGTAATTTTACTCGGTCCCATAGGATTACTATGAGTCAGAATTGACTGGCAGCGGGTATGGTTTGGGTTTGGGTTTAGTATCTAATCCAGATCTTGAAGGACTTTTTTCCCTAGCTGTATAATAAATACCTTGAGGGCAAAGAATCTCATTCTAGTCTTTATTGATGCCTCAAGTCAGCAGTTGTATCGACGGGCTCCAATAGAAGAACGGTTGTGAGAGGATGTCACAGGACTGGGCAGTGTTTCATTCTTTCGGACATAGGATTGCTGAGTCAGAAGTGACGCGGCAGTACCTTCTAACAACAACTCAGCAGTGGACAAGTAAACATGTGACTACTGGCAGCCAGGGGTAGTTTGGGAATGAACCTTGATTTGCAGTGTTTTCCTGGATGATTTCAGGCCACCCCCATGAGACCACAGAAGAAGAATCCGGAAGTGATGTCCAGCAGCACACTGTTATCTGATATTTCCATCACAGAAACACAGCAGGCAACAGTAACCTGACATCTGTGAATCATAGTGAAGGCAGTGGTGGTGGTGGTGCTATCGAGCTCATTGCAACTCGCGACAAGGCCAGGTGACAGAGTAGAACTGCCCCATATGGTTTCTTTGGAGCCCTATGGTAGTGTGTTACAGCGCAGGCTGCCAGCTGCCAGGTCAGCAATCAAACTCACCAGCCACCCACGGAAGAAGATGGGGCTGTTTGTTCCCATAAATATTTCCTGTTTCAGAAACCCTGTATAGCATCAGGGAGCCCTGGTGGCATAGTGGTTATGCGTTGTGCTGCTAACCTCAAGGTCAACAGTTCGAAACCACCAGTCGCTCGCTGGGAGAAAGACCAGGCTTTCTATTCCCATAAAGTGTTATAGTCTCCGGAACCTTGTCTTATAGGATCACCAGGAGTTGGAATGAACTCAATGGCAGTGAGACAGAGGGTCATTCTGTGTTGGAATGGACACAGTGGCACTGGGTTTGGGAATCTCACGGGCCCTGATCACCAGATCCTTCTGCAGAGCTGCTGGGTGGATTCCAAAGCTAGTCTTTGGTTACAGCTGAGTCCTTATCCACGGAGCCACCGGGCTCCTTCATGAAATAATCTGAAGTCATAAGTTAGGGTAATTTATTACCATTGTCTTTAATCTAGTTTATTTGATTTTAATTTGAGAGACTTAATCTTTACTAATTGCTGTGCTTGCCAATGGGTTTACAAACTTCCTGAAAACTAAACAATTAGCCTCACGAGCTGCTTTGAGCTGCCTCCAGCACGGCACTGTTAGAGTCTAACGTGGTGCTTGCTTTTAATAGCCACTGGAGTGGCAGTGAGGATGCTAATAAAAAGAACATGAATAACACTAATGGGCTTTGATTATAGTCTGGACTTCAGTGTTCTTCTCTGAGCCTGAGTGTTCCTTAGAATCCATCCCTCATACATAACAGCAGGCCAAACAAAAAAAAATATTTGAGGGTGGAGACCGAGGGAGAGCCAGGGACCCAGCTAAGAGCTGTGAACACTGAACTCTGCCCAGGGTCAGGGTGGGGCCCTAGGACAGGCTCCAGCTGAAAAAGTAGTGGCTGCCTTTGGGCTTGAGCAAGCCTCTGAGCTGCAACTGCCGTCTCTTCTCCTCCCCTTACACGCCCAGGACTCAGATGTGCTGAGGAAAAAGCCCCAGTCATTCCAGAAAGGGCGGCCTGCAAACATGTAGGGAGTCCAGGAAGAAGTAGAAAACAAAGTGCAGGGGTCCCCTAAATTCCTTCATTTCTTTTGTCGGGGTGCTGTGCTGATCTGGATGGAAACGCGTGGGCGGGTCCAGCTGAGGGAACTGCAGGGACAGCTGGGGAATCAGCTGTGTTGCATTATGGTCGGCACTCTCCTCGTGGTGTTCAGGAATTGTACCATATATGGACTCAGGCATGGGACAGACATTCCAGCCGATTTGCATGAGGGTTTCCCTAAAACTGCATTTTAGAATTAGGTCATGGTTGCATGAGGACTCCTCTAAAATCGCATAGCGATATTCGGCCAAAGGTGGGGAGAGGACCCCAGGAAAGTGGGTGAGCATGAAGTACTAGGGATCCATTGTGAGCTGGCAGGAAAAAAGAAAAAGTGTGTAGTCCTCTCCCAACCAAGTGCCTGCAAAAGGCCTGGGAGTGGTTCTTCACGCCGTGCCATGGGAGGGAAGAGACAGAGGACTTTTCCCTAGACTCCTTCCCCCTTCTCACTGGAGTCAGCCTGAAGGAGCTTGGAGGCCAACTTGGAAAAGTGTAGCAGAGGTCAAGGGGACTAGCTACGATTTCAAACTTGAGAGGCAGTTATGATGGTCAAGTTGGGGGCAGACAAAGCTGAGTTATTCGGGGGTCAAGTGGGTTCACCCAGGTAAACCGAGATCATTATCCTCTTACTTTTTTAATTCACTGTCATGAATCCATAGGGACTCATAGAGACCCCTAAGGGCAGAGCAGAACTGCCCCCGGGGGTGTCTGAGATTGTATATCTGTGCTTGAATAGAAAGCCTTATCTTTCTCCTATGGAGCAGCTGCTAAATTAGAACTTGGGACCTTGTGGTTAGTAGACCAATGCATGGCCCACAATGTCACCAGGGCTCCCTCCATCCCTCTGAACTGACGTGGCACAGCTGGAGCTGTGGAAATCCAGGACAAATGGAAAGGAAAGAGAGGGGGGCAGTGATCTGAGGAAATGGCTGTTACTCAATGGCCAATAAATTGAAGCCAATGTATAAATATTAATCAACTTTCTTGGCAATTTATTTGCTTAACTTTTTTTTTTTAAGGACCAACTTGAATTGTTTTGGGACACTCTATGTGAACTATTTAATTTGTTTCCAAAGACCAGATCTAGGGAATACACTATGGCAGTGAGAGGGAACAATTCGATATGCAAAGCACAGGCAAACCCCATACACATACCACGGAATGAAAGAAGTCAGACACAAGGGAGTGCCGTGCAGTCCCATTGATGGCCAGCTCCAAACCAGGCAGGGCCCGTCTGTGATGTTCCGGGGCAGGATAGAGGGCCCTTTGTTGGGCTTAGTAGCTGGCATGAACTGGCAGGACTGACTCTAGGGGTGCTGGTAATGTACTGACGCTTTGTCTGGGTGCTGCTGTAGATGGGGGTGACAGCTTAGGATTTGTACACTTAAGACTTGTGCACATTTCCGGCTGGGAATATCAATGTGAAGTTTACTTAAAAGAAAGGAAGAACCAGAGGTAATCCTGTGAAATAACTGGTCACCGTCAAGTGAGGGTCCCTGTGCGGCAGAACGGCATGTCCAGAGGGCCGTTGTGGTGAGGTGCTGTCGAGTCAGTGCTGACCTATAAGGAGTCCATGTTCAACAGAGCTCAGAGCACTGGCCCGTCCTGCGCCCTGCCCAGCTCTAATGGGTATCATTTATGATTTTGAATTCTGTTCCACATTTTTTTTTCCCACTGAGCCAGAGTCTTCTCCTGTGATCCTTCCCTGAGCTGCTGTGAAGACTGATGGACGTTTGCATGGCTCATTGGTCCACCGCACCGATGCACGTGTCTCTTCATTTTCTCCACACTTCTTGCCTCTAGAATGGGAGAGACTGACAGTTAGTTGTCCCTTCCATGGTCACGCATAATATTCTAAGACCGAGGTCGCTACTCACCAAATTAGGATGGAGAACATTGTCTTGGTGAACTATATTGTGCCAGTTGACCTCGGTGTCCCCTGAGACTGTGACCCTTAACCTCCCAGGCCCAATGGCTCATTCCCTCAAGGTGTTTGACTATATCCAAAAAGTATTCGTCCCATCGCCTACCCCTTGTATGCTCCACCATATTCTTGGACATATTCACTGCAAAAATAAATATGCATATTCAAATGTCCTCTCAATTCTATACATATTCATGCGTATACACCTAATCCCCCTCTTCCACCTGTGAGCTTATGTATCTAGTTAACCATCCACTCATAGCCCTCCCCATAAAATATGGACTGCTTTGTGAATTTCCGTGTCATCTTTGAGTAGGGTGCGTGTTCATCTTCTATGTACCTTTCCATTTTGCGTGTATGTGCTGTTGAACTGAGCACTAACAGTCTTAACATTGATGCTCACCTTGGCCTTCTTCACCCTCACCTCTGGCTGCCGTGGTCTTCATGATTAAAAGGCTTCAGGAAAACCTAAATCCCTGTAAGACAATGTTCAGGATCCCAGCCGAAGACCAAGTGTCAATAGGCTTGGGTAAATAGTAATAATCTCATATTTATTTGTGCTTCCTCATTCTGAAAGCCCTTCCATCACCATTCACCATCATGTCACTGGATTCTTTACAGTGCGGAAGATAAAAATGCAGGTGGTAGGGCTAGATGGCCTGGATTGGAATTCTAGCTTCATGTGCTAGTAACCGATTGACCCTGGGAACAATGCCCTTATCTATGGAATGGGAACGCAGTGAAGATGAAACCATTAACACGCCAAGTCCTTACAGTTTGCCAAGATTTTGATAAATATTCACTGCAACAACTAAAGACGTACATTTTACAGATAAAAAAGCCAGAGGAAAAAGAAACAGATGGTTCCAAGGCTCATTCTTGGTATAACCTGACCTGAACTCCAGGTCTTCTACACAGCAACACTAGTTGTGATGTCACGTGGAACAACTTGTCATCCATGTTTATGTAACAAAAGCAACAACACAAAAGACCCTGTGCTAAGTACTTTATCATACAGCACCGCATTTAGTCTTCATAATAACCTCTGACACAGGTATTATACCCACATTAGCTCCCCAAACCGAACGCACTGCTGTAGAGTCAATTCTGACCCATACCAACCTTATAGTACAGAGTAGGACTTTCCCCATGGGTTTCCAAGGCTGTAACCACTATACAGGAGTGGAAAGCCTCATCTTTCTCCCATAGAATAGTGGGTGCTTTCGAACTGTTGATCTTGTGGTTAGCAGCCAACGTGTAAGCCGCTACGCCACTAGGGCTCCTTATACCCATCTTAGAGCAGGGCAAATCGAAGCCTAGAGATTCAAAAAAACAAAGCTAAGTCACCCAGCTGCTAACGGGGAAGACAGGATTTGAAGCCCAGGGTTTGAGTGTCCCATCTTGAACGGTCCGTGACCTCTGGAAAGAAAAAGACCAGCACAGGTGCTTGCTTTATAAACAGCAGAGGTTTGCCAGAAGACCTGGATGATGGCTTAAGGCCAGTCAGAGGCCCTTCTCCCTCATTCGTCCTCCCCTCACTGCATATGGATCCCCTTAGGTGTTTCGGAGGCTCTCATGGACGGACTTGCAAGTCCGTCTCCCAGCTATTAAGCAGCCAGGTCAAGGAATGGAGAGACTCAGATAAGCATTTGCTAGCAAGGCCACAGCTGGGTACCAGCAGGCTTGTCGGATGCTGCCAAGACAGAGATGGGCCAGGGTGCTTGCACAGAAAGGGTTTGCAACACCACGAGGTGTGTAGAAGGAAAGCAAAAGACGGACGGGAAGGATGGCACTTGGCACGGGAGCTGCGAGTGCTTTGAGGAGAGTCATAGACAGGGATACCTGGGAGCACCTTCCTGCCTTACCATTTCAGGAGCAGGCCTGGGAATCGCCCCTTGGCTGGCGCTCTGCATGGTTGTGACTGGCAGCCTAGACAGACGGGACTGTTTTGGCTTCATTTCTTTCCCTGCCTTTATCACCAGCACTGCCCTCCAGGTCCTTGATCCCAGCATGCCTGATTAGGGCTTGTTCCCCCAGCTCCCCCACCCCCACCCCCCACCCCCGCCTTTTCCTCCAGGGGCCCCCTGGTGGACAAGCGAAGACTAAGTGAATCATCTGAGGTAGGAACTAAAGGCAGGTGGCCATGGTGGTGGGAGGGCCCTGGAGGGTGCAGTGGTGAAGCACTTGCTTGTAACTAAAAAAAAGTTGGTGATTGGGACCCACCAGCTACTCTGTGGGAGAAAGACATGGTAGTCTGCGCACTGGGTGAGTTCTACCCTGTATTCTAGGGTTGTTATGAGTCAGAATAAACTCCACAACCATGGGTTGGTGGGGGTGGGGACGGGGGCTGGTTAGGGGCCAGGAAGAACCACAAGGTCGTGCCAATGGTGAATGCACTTGGCTGCTACCCAAAAGTTTGGCGGTTGGAATCTACTCACATGTATGTCGGAATAAAGTCCTGGCAAGCCACTCACAAAGAAGCAGCCAGTGGGAAACCCTCGTGCTGGCAGCCCTATTCTGATGCAGATGGTGCTGTGTCCAAGCCCACTGACCAGCACCTAGCTGTTTGCTGGTGATGAGGAAGCAGAGTGATCGGTGGGTAATTTTTTCTTTTCCCCAACAGAATTTAGAAAGCTTTGTTGTGAATCACTCTTGTGCCCCTTGGGTGAGTGCTGGACTACCACTAAAGTGGCAGCCAGGACTTTGAGGGGGCCTGTAAAAGAAAGGATTGCCCTTTTCTCTCGCTTTCTGTGTAGAGTGCCCCATTAAAATGTAGCACATTTTGTGTTTTCCCAAAAGAATGTGGGGCTGCAGCGTGAGCAAAGGCACTCCCTCCCACTGAAGTGGGATTTTCATAGCTCCTTTCAACATCAAGAGGGTGGGAAAGCTGTGTTCAAACCCAGTCAATTGGTACCACGTGGAAAAGGCCCGAAATAGGTAATAGGTAACATAGGCTTCCTTAGGGCCAACGGAAGGTGCCCAGTTTGCAATCACCTGGGGATCCAATTAAAAGGGAAACTCTCCATAGGCAGGGCTGGGCTAGGGCCTGTGTCTCCAGCACACTCCTGCAGCTGGCTGGAGGAGCACTCTTGGGAGCACGCCTGCACTTTCCCCGGTCAGATGAGTGGAGGGTGATGATGATTCAATTAGACTTCTTGCTTCCTCTGCAAGCAACCAGGCCTGGATCCCCAAGTAGGTGGCGGTGAATGTTGCTGTGATGCCGAATAGGTTTGGATGGAGCTACCAGACTAGATAGACTTGGCAGAAGGGCCTACTGGTCTACTTCTAGATACAAATCATTGCCAACAACAGCCCCATCCCATCATGCACGGAGGTCCCTGGGGGGTAACAGTTTTCTGGGTCTCCCCTCCCCACCACCAAAATTATTTTTTTAAAGGCATAAGAAATATATATTTTGGGAGGTCTCTTACACACTGTCATCTAGCTCATTGCTACTCATGGTGACTCTCCGAAGGGTTTCTAAGCCTGTACATTTTTTTCAGGAGCCAACAGACTGTTCTTTGTCCCCCAGGGAAGCTAGAGGGTTTGAACGTCCAACCTTGCAGTTAGCAGCCCAATGCTTACCCAGCAGCGCCACTAGGGCTCCTTTCACAGTTTCAACTCGTTGGGAACTCACTGTTATCAAATTGATTCCGACTCAAAGTGGCCCGGTAGGATACAGTAGAATTTCCCCTTAGGGTTTCAGAGACTGTCAATCTTTAGGGGAGTACAAAGCCTCGTTTTTCTCCTACAGAATGGCCAATGGGTTTGAACTGATGATCTTTATGTCAGTAGCTCAATGTGTAACCAATATGGCACCGCGGGCTGTAATACTGTAACTATTTAGAATGTTAACCCCCACTGTCCTCTCACCAAGTACGGTCCTAGACTTGATCATGTTACAGGACAGGGTAAATCTTGGGTCATTGCACAGAACACACAGAAGCAATATTAATACAAGGATCTCTTTCTTCAGCTCTAAAATGCATGCCTAAAGGTGCCTTTGGCTGACATGTGCATATAAAAATTACCAGAACACATAGTTATGGGCACAGTTTATGTTTTCTTTGTATTTTTAATTATTCCCCCAAATTCTGTGAATGAATTCATGTTGGTCTGTTTTTGTTTGTTTGTTTTGTTTCTGAAGGCTACACTTGAAATACCCCTGTATTGTAAAAGTTCACAGGCTCACTGAACTCAAAAGGGCTTTTTAAGGTCAAGGCTGATGCTGTACATACAGATCCACTCTGCTCCTTTGAGTTTCAGTGACTTCTCAGTGGTAGAAGTGAGGGGGGCGGTGGCAGTGGGGGTGGGGGTGGGGAATCTTCTGGTGTTGGGGAGACCGAGCTGGTGGGGCAGGATGATGTTGAATCCGTGTTTGACACTGAAAGAAAGTTAGAGAAGGCCAGTGAAAGGCACTGAGTCTGCCTCTGGAGGTCATGCTGGACGCCTGCAGGACCAAGGTTTGACTGATTTTCACGTCTGTACCTGCAAGCAAGGTCAATCTGCATGAATGATGGCTTGGCATCTTGATCCAAGGCCCCAAATCAGTGATCAGATTGCCTAAACCAGTGAACTGTGATCATGTGTGTTTTATAAATGAGAAAAGACAGGTCCGGGGACCAGATGGCAAATATGCATGAAAAAGTTGCTCAACTATGTTTGCAGCAGGGAGAGGGTGGTAGTAATCGTGCAAATGGAAGGAGGGCCTTCATCACTCACTTCTTCAGCCCATGGCCTTTCCTTTCAATCACGAGCTGATCATCTTCCGAAGAGTTAGTGTAGCTCGACCGTGGGTGCACATAGCTCTCCCTAGCAGCACAGGACTTTGTAGACTGCTGCTGATCTCGCGGGCTGTCTGTCGCTCTGGGGATTCTGGCTTGCGATGATCCTCTATGTGTGCTTCACAGGGTTCTCAGGGATGTGGCCTATAAGAAGCTGATCACCAGGGCTGTCTTCCAAGATGTCTCTCCAGGTGGGCTTGACCTGCCAACATTTAGCTGACAGTTGAGTGCTTCACTAAGGCTCCAGGACTCCTTGTATATACAGTAAGCAACAACAACAAACAAAACTCACTGCCCTGGAGTGGGTTCTGACTCATAGAGACTGTATAGGACAGAGTAGAACTGCTCCTGTGACTTTCCAAGACTGTACGTTTTTACGGGAGTAGAAAGCCTCATCTTTCTCCCCAGAAGCAGCTGGTGGAATTGAACTGCTGATCTTATAGTTAGCAGCCCAATGCATAACCCACTACGCCACCAGAGCTCCTTTTGTATACAGTTGGAACTTCAACTTTTCAATGCATTGATGTTTCTTCTATGACGTTCTGAGCACAGCACAGAACAGCAAGCTTCGCAAAGCCACTTTGCGTAGATGCG